GGGGGGGGGGGGGGGAGGCGGGCAAGCTGGGGGTTATGCAGAAGGAAGGGCAGATTTGCTATGCAGCATTGGGCATTTAAAGAGGTCTACGTGCAAGGTGGGGAAAAGTAATCCATCGGCGCCCTGTAAAAGAAAGTTTATTCACATCTGTCTGACAAGCAGTGTGTTGAAACTTTGCTCCCAAGATGTTCTCAGTGCCAGGGTGTGGTGCCCGCTAACCCGTTTATTACTACTGTGTCTCTTTAAGAGGGAAACCCACTTGAGAGGTAAGATACTCCTTAGGCTTCATTCACACAGGAAAAAGCCGGCACCTTTAATACTGTAGGAATTAACATATCCGCAACAATATAAAACAAAGAATCCTTTGTGGTCCTAACATTCTTTTAACTCTCTTTTTCAGCTTAGCTAATATTCCCCTGACGCCCGAGACACAGCGAGACCAGGAAAGGCGAATACGCCGTGAAATCGCCAACAGCAACGAGCGACGTCGAATGCAGAGTATAAATGCCGGTTTCCAGTCTCTGAAAACTCTAATCCCTCATACAGATGGGGAGAAGCTAAGCAAGGTCAGTGGCGGTGGGGGTCATTATCAGGGGGTGAACTATGTTTGGAAATTCTGTAAATGATGCAATACCTCAGTGATGTGTAGTGTACGCTTTTCATATATGCTCTTGTTGCAAGAAATTACGTCTATGGCCGTTTTTACTGTGTTTCAGGGCCAGTTCACACCAATTGTGGTGCGTTCCAGAGCGGTAGCTGCACAGCAATCGCACACTAAACTTCACGCTTCGTTCTGGAATGCATGCTCTATTTTTTGCATTAGCAGTGGAACAGAACGCAAGCAATGTTTTGCTACATGTCCGATCGCACTGTGGGCAGAGGTCGTGGCTGCGGTGCCATAGACTTCAATGCACCGCCACACCCCCCTCCTGCCCCAGAACGAAGGGGGAAGTTTAGTGTGCGTTTTGCTGTGTTTTCCAGCAGCTCCCGCTCTGGAACGCACCACAATTGGTGTGAACTGGCCCTTAATGTCTTAAAAAAAAGCATCAAAATGAATTGGACGGGAAAACCTGCATCTTTTTATGTGAAAAAATACATTTTGCTTCTGTACTTCCAAATGGCAGAGGTATGTGCACACATATATCTAAAGACGTGTTACTGGATATCCCTATTGGGTGCTCTTTCAGGTAGGACAGCGAGCTAAAAGCCAGTACTAGATGTATTTAGAAAAGGAAGGTTATAATCCTTGTCAACTGTGTCCCACTGGGGAGATTTCCCTCCACTTCCTGTGATATTGCCTCAATGGGAAGTGAGATGAAATGCCTTTAAAAGTGAGGAATATCCCTGTTGGTCAGCAGGGTCACTAGAACTAGTGTCCCCATTGGGAGATTCCCCATCTATTCCTGCTTTGGTGACAACCCAAACTTTGGGATTATCTTTCAATGATAACGGTCGTCAGGACAAATACAGGGGGTGAATCTCCCTAATGGGGGGACAGACGGCAGTAGACAGGTGTTCTAATCCTTCTCCACTCCATCCACAATATAAAAAACAAAGTTTTGGCTTCAGTTGCACTTTAAACAGCTCAGTATTTTAAAACTACATATGATGCTCTTTAATTTGCTTCAGACTTGGTCTGATGCTCGAGAAAGATTGTGTTTTGAAATGAGAAGCTGCTTAAATGGCTAAATACAGCCAGATTTTGCTTTTATCTTTTCTTTAAAATAGAACTCAATATGCAGACCAGGACTTGTATAAAGCTGTCTGTCTGGTTGTGCAAAAATCGTTTGTTCAATTGGCATTTGTCAAAGGAGACGGATGAAAGATTGTCGGCTGCAGTCACTCTTAGGACAGCCACGGGTACCAGCTGTCAGAATACAGTATGTGTTTTTTTTCCCAGCCCACAAATATGTTGTTGTTTTTTAAAATGTCAGATACCTGACTGTTCTGTTGATCCTTTGTGAATTGTTGAATGAAAAAAAATGTGTTTACCTGATCTAATTAGTGACTGAGAGTATTGGGCCCCATTTACCGTTCAGGGCCCGTTCACACACACACACACACACACACACACACTGCGTTCCGGCCCGCTTAGTTTGTTGTGGGGCAGGAGGGGGCGTGGTGGTGCATCAAAGTGAATGGCACTGCAGCCACACCCTCCGTCTGCAATTACGTTAATAAGTAACCCCCCGTATGTCGCACAGGTCCACCAGTAACTACTGTACAAAGTGGAGTGTGTTATGTTAACATACAGTAAAAAGCACCTATTACCATGCATTAGCACAACACATAGGTGTGAGGCCTCATTCACAGCACCCTCAGTGTGTTCTGGCCGGAACACACTGGATCGCATTGCGGTCGGCTCAGTTTGTTGTGGGGCAGGAGGGGGCATGGCGGTGCATTGAAGTGAATGGCACCGCAGCCACGCCCCCTGGGAACGCAAGGCACATCAATGCCTGCGGTCTGGTCAGAAAAACTAGTGCTTGCAGCATTTTTTTTGGTTGGATCGGGAAGTGAGCGAACACATACCGTCGTTCACTCACTTCTCGATCCTCTCACGGCTCTCTGCCGTGACAGGGGCTGGATTCCCCCTCCCCGCTCCGATCCTCCAGCGCTGACTGGCGGAACGGACGGGGGAGGGGGTGGGTACAGCTGGCTCTGCCTCTCGATAGGCAGAGCCAGCTGTCACTCACGCAGCAGGGCGGATCCAGACATAATTGTCGGGATCCGCTTCAGCTGCGGCGTCTCAGTATACCGCAAGCTGTAGCTCGGGGTATACTGAGCTTAGGGTGACGGGAGGACGCTAGTTTGTGTCCTCCCGTTACCCTAAGGAGAACTATGGGGAAAAGCACTAGCCCCATAGTTCTCCTTTTAAGTGTCGCTTCTTAAAGAAGTGGTCATGGGGACTTAAGTTACAATTGTTTTGTTAGGTAATGCGCCGGTTTCAGACAGCCGCAGGACAAGCGCAGATGTAATCCGTTGCGAACTTTCGCAAAACACTCGCAGTCAGGAAAATAACACGCGTACAGGATTTTGTTCAGTTGCGGCCGCTGCACACATTGTAGTAAATGACAGGGTGACAGCGACCGCATCTGTAAGCAACAAGTCCGCATCTATCCTGCGTCCAGCAACAGTCTTCTATCCCAAACTGCATGGCATCGTACCATGTGTGATTACATGAGGACTGCTACATACGAATGCATCTGCTGTCACCCTGTCATTTACTTCAATGGGTACAGTGGTCACATCTTCACGGGGACACCTGGGATTCCTGCTGCTGGTGAATGGGACCATAGTCTTTATATTCCATGCCAGACAAGCATCATTCTTATCTTGGGGTCATTGTTTTGGGTGGGAATATGCACTCTGCACTATCCCTGTAATACCTCATTGCTATTGTTTTCTCCTACAGCATTAGATTAATGCCAGGGTTGTACTACTCTTCTACTGTCTCAGTTTTGCCCAAAGCAATGGTTATAGACCTCCCAAGAAATAGTGTCACAGCCCTGGGCACTGGTGATGGAAGTTATTATGAAGAAGCAGCTTGTCTTTGAATAGTAATGTAGTGATCCCAGTAGAGCTGCAGCTAACGATTATTTTCAAAATCGATTAGTTAGCCGATTATTAGGTTCGATTAATCGGTTAATCGGATAAACAATAAAATAAAGTTTAAAAAAAGGCTCCAGTGATGGGACTACTAGTTTGTATTGAGGTTGTAGTCCATCACAGGAGCAAGCTTGGAGCGGTGGAAGTAAAAAAGAAAGATAGTGTGGTGTGCAATATAGTGAAATGGAAAGTGTAAAATTATACAGCAATCAATGCAGAATGCCGCCAGCTATAGAGGAATACAACAAATCCCAGCAATAGTACATAATAGCTGGCGGCATTCTGCATTGCGCTGTATAATGTACTATTGCTGGGTTTTGTAGTCCTCTATAGCTGGTGGTATTCAGCATTGCACCACTGTATAATGTATTATTGCTGGGATTTGTAGTCCTCTATACAGCGCAACGCGGAATATCACCAGCTATAGAGGAGTACAACAAATCCCAGCAATACATTATACATACAGTGTATAATGTATTGCTGGGATTTGTATTCCTATGTATAATATACAGCACAATGTACCATCAGCTATAGAGAAATACAAATCCCAGCAATACATTATAGAGCACCATGTGTGGGAAAGTGCAGGCTTACCTGAGCAGTCTTCCAGCAACTTGCTTCTGAGATCGGACCTGTCTATCGGCGGCTGTCATCACCCCACACCTGCTCCTCCTTACTACATCTCCCCGCGTCCCTGTGCCGATCGTGGATGTGGGTGGGCGGTGAGTGTGCGGCGTGTGGAGCATGGATGCGGGCGGGTCTGGCAGCGGCGAGCGTGAGGTGGGGAGGAGGTACGGCGCACAGCGTGTGGAGCTGTGAACAGGGCCAACTGATCGGAAGCCGATTAATCGATTATTGAAAAAGTTGACAACTTTTTCAATAATCGATTATAATCGATTATGTCGATTAGTTGTTGCAGCCCTAGATCCCAGGGATGAGGGATACAGGTCATGTGATCACAACCTTGACAGTGCATTCCAAGTGCTGCTAAACAAAAAAAAGCCTGAAGGCATATTGTAATGAACCTAGAGTGATCAAACTTAATAATCAGTCTGTTTTTTTGCTCTAATGTAGGTGAGTGGTGTGCAGCTTTATTCTCGCCTAGGATCTTTCTTGTAGCCATCTAAGGAAACTGCAAGGGTTGACATGAGCTGTATTATATACTTAAACAGTCTACTTTGTGTATCTCTCTCACACAGGCAGCCATACTGCAACAGACAGCAGACTATATATTCTCCCTGGAGCAGGAGAAGACCAGATTGCTGCAGCAAAACACCCAACTCAAGAGGTTCATCCAGGTAACAAAGCTGTGGAAAAAAATGCTCTCTGAGAGCAGTTGTGATACAATCTGATATGATACAGTGTGTTGTAGCATGTCCACAGTCTCTGACAATCTGCAGGATAATGGCCGCTGTTTTGCACAGTTTAGGTCTCCTATACCTTGACCACTGCTAGCATGTGAAGTTGATGTTTACCAATGAGGATAAGTCCTGTTGTGTATATGCAAGCAATATTACAGATATCAATATTTATTATTGGTATTTATATAGCGCCAACAACATATGCAGCACTTTACATACTGCACATTCACATCAGTCTCTGCCCACCTTACAACCTAAGGTCCTGACGGCGCATGCATTCAGGGCCAATTAAATTAACCTTCCAGCATGTCTTTGAAGTGTGGGAGGAAACTGGAGGAAACCCACACAAGCACAGGGAGAACATGCAAACTCCGTGCAGATACTATCCCGGCCGGGATTGGAACTGGGGACCTCCAGTGCTGCAAGGCAGAAGTGCTAACCACTTAGCCACTGTGCTGTTTTTGACTGAGTACATAGAGTTCTGACTCGACTCCATGGTTGAGATTGCAGAGCTATAGCTGATCTATTTTAGCCATATAGTGAAAACAAAAAACCAAGGAACTGTAAACTTACTTGCAAAATATATTTTTTATACATTCTGAAGGTTTTATATAGTGTGAAGGTTTTGTAGTCCCCTTGCTGCTCTGCAGAATTATCTAAGTGGTGGTCTCTGTTTGTGGCAGGAATTCAGTGGCTCCTCTCCCAAGCGGCGGCGGGCAGAAGACAAGGATGAGGGGATCGGCTCTCCGGATATCTGGGAGGAGGAGAAGGCAGAAGATCTGCGGAGAGAGATGATTGAATTGAGGCAACAACTAGACAAAGAACGTTCAGTCAGGATGATGCTGGAGGAGCAGGTAACTAACAAGCTTTTCTTTCAGGCAAACTTGTCACTGCTGGTTGCATGGCTAAAGTGCACAATGGCCTGCACATTCCAATAAATGGCTTTATGAGGGCCTTGAAACTACTCTAATATGCATATTTTGCCTTTTTGTTAAATTATAAAACTGTCTGCTTATTACTACAATAGGAGTGAGTCACTATCCTCACAACCGAATTAAGTTCTTATAACTGTTCAGTCACTGTGGAGACAATTTAACAGGAAGCTATAATTGTTTTGCAGGAATTTTAATGTAGTTGGTTTCTTTTGAAATTTGTAAATTGTTTTACATCTTTTTTTTTTACTATCTAAAAAATTACACGACAAAGGATTCCCTTGAGTGCTATGAGTTAGTTAAAGAGACAGCACAGCAGACACCCCTCTGCTGTGAGACTTCCTTTGTTTGACTGAGGCCAGCTTCACACCTATGAGTTGTGTAAATGTGCAGTAAAATGCACACTATCCTGTGTGTCAACGCAGTGCAAGGTAATAGACAGTCGACACTGTGGTGCCATTCATTTTGAGTGGCACCCCAACTCTCCTTGCCAAACTCACTCCAGCGCAAATGCGGTGCGGTTTTACTGCGGTGCATTGCACATCACGTCCAGGGTCGGGTGCATTGGTAACCAATTTAAAATGAATAGGCTGGCTTAGCACAACGCTTGGTAATGCAACACATCACAGCCGTGTACAGGGGCTCTGAAACTTTTACTGAGCCGTCTGAAATCAATCACTCGGATAAGTCATTGCTCCGACTAATTCACTTGTTTATAGAACAGTGTCAATAGGCTTTTCATCAAAAAAGAATGCTGATAAACTTGAAAACCTGAAAAGGAGCATTAGGCTCCACCTGCTGATTCAAAAAAGCACTGCAAGGCATTATGTATTAATTCATTTTTATATTAACCGACTAAAAATTGTTCAATTTGTTCTTTTAATTCTGACCATAATGCATGTTATAAAACCAGTACACATTCCCAAAATGTCCAGTAGATCCCATTATTTTGGAGGTAATATTAGTTAGGGGAGCATTTAGGATAGACTATCCACACACCACCTTTTATGATTTAGAGATCTTCTACTCTGATTTAGGAATCAAGAGAAAGATCTTTGAGAATAGGATTAGGAAGAGGGTCTATGGGAATAGGTGCTTGTGGGTTCTCAACTTCGAATTGGTTAGTTGTGCAGCAATTAATTGATCTGCCTTATTACTAGGTTCGAGCTGTGGAAGCTCATATGTACCCTGAGAAGTTGAAGGCGATAGCTCAGCAAATCCAGCAGGAGGATGAGGGAGGGAAAGCACAGGGACAGTCACAGGAGTCGCAGGAGTCGCAGGACAGGAGTGAGCAGCTCCTCCATTCTCCGGTAAGTCCGCTATTTTTTCCCCTCCATCAGCGCACTGCGGTGTTCATCTCCTATATTAAGTCAGAGTGTAGTTACGTCACTTTCTATCATACCCGACACCTAGATCAAGAAATATAATAGGTTGCCCAAACATCAGCCAAAATTAAATGGAAAGTCACAACTTGGCACTTATTTGCCCAAATTTTGGAATGTTGGTCAAATTTGCTCCTTGAAAATCATTTTGTGGAATGTCTCACTGCTGACGCCTCATAATTATATATATTTTATATAATGTGATCTATATGTGTTTTAATATTTACCTGCAACATGGCTTTTTTCCTCACAGATCCTGGCGCCACATCTGCCGCTGGCACCTACCCACCACCCTACAGTAATAGTGCCTGCTCCACCACCTCCACCCTCTCACCACGTCAATGTTGTGACTATGGGACATTCCTCAGTAATCAGTTCTGTGTCTACATCCCGTCAAAATCTGGACACCATTGTGCAGGTAGGTGTAGAAAAAGGGGGTGGGATACAATCCAATTCTGTATATAGAATGTGCAAACTACAGTCCTTCTCAGGGGAACGCCAGGTAAAACCTTTATTTATCCTTGCAGCAAGGCTATTCCCTCTGTTCGTTTTTGTCTAGGCTGAAAAAAATAAATGTTATACTCGCCCAAATCGCTGAACCGGCTCCCTGCGTCTCTGGTCACTGAAGCCTGTCTCCTTCTAAGCTGCAGCATCCTCATGTCCATACATTGTGTATAGATGTGATGATTTACGGGACCTTAGACGTTTGCAGAGGAGGTGTAGAGAGGCTGGGAGGACCGGTCTAAGAACAAGCCGACTCCACGGTTCAGATGAGAATAACTTTTTGTTGTTAGCACTTGGATAAAAATGAGGAGTTAACCTTTGCAGTGCAGGGGTAGCAAGGGTTAATAAAGGTTTTGCCCAAAGTTCTTTCTTAATTTCCTTTCTTAATTTCCTTTATTGATTTCCTAAAGCACTTCTGATTTACATATCAAGAGGTACACTTTTTAAGAGGTTCACGTCTATCAATAAGCCCTTACAGCCATTGTCTGAGTAACTTGCGCACGTGCCTTTTATTGCATGTTTAATCAAATCCCTAGCACATCCTGAGATTTTTTAGCTACTGGACTTAAATTTCAGTTAATGGCTGAAGTTTTGTCTTCTATTTTGCCTTCCCATTTCCCTCCGCTCATAAAAAATTAATAGAACCTTTCTGTTTTCATTACAAACCTTTTTTTTGACACAATGATGGGCTTCTCTATGCAATGCATGAGATCATGGCTGGTGAGAAGGGCCGGGTGCTGTACACGGCTTCCTGAAGACATCACAACACCCTGGCACAGTACTCCTCAAGGGCATCAAGGCAGAGGGCTTTTGAGAGGAGTTATGCAAATCACAAAATGCTTTTGGGTGGATGTCTGTCTTGAGGAGTGAGCATTCCTAGCCTGGCTGCATTTGCATGATTTGCATGCAGACTGTCCTAAGTAATGCCCACATGTTATGGCGAGCCTCCATGATTGCAAGAGGAAAGAGGTAGATGATGCTGGTTATGCTCCAGCCAGGAAATGAGATGGGCTCTGTCTGACTCACAGAAGCTCACAGTGCAGTGAAATCCTAGTAAGCAATTGTTAGTACATGAGAGGAGCCGGTACAAATGTGCAAGCCTGAAGATAAGGTTGGAGTAGGCTTTAACATTAGTGCTTTAAAATAGGTCTGACTGACTTTTGATTCCTGCATTTAAAGTTGTCCACCACTAGTCAATGCTAATATACTCTAAAGCAGTCCTGTTATGGCAGAGCTGACAGACTAACTAACTCTCTTTACTGCTTCCCGTCTCCACCAGGCCATACAGCACATAGAGGGCACGCAGGAGAAGCAGCTGCAGGACGAAGAGCAGCGGAGGGCTGTCATCGTGAATGCCCCCCGCCCATGTGAAGATTCAGACACCGCATCAGAGACAGAATGCGACGACAGCGGAGCGGAGCAAAGCAAGGACGACGCCATGGAGGACCCCTGACATCTGCTTACCCACCCACATGTGGGGAGAGACTGGGGGAAACTGGAGGGTGGGAGGCTGCGGGGGTACTAGAGGGAGCCCTACCAAGAGTTGCCTTCATCCAGCCTCCTTCCCAAATCTTGTGGGGTTTCTAGGGGTGGTCTACCGCCGACCACAAAGATACTGTAATAAGGTTGAGGGCAAAAGGGTTAGCGCACTAAGGGATTGCCCTGGTCTAATAGAGATGAGGAGGGTCATTGTGGTGGGGGGTCCTTAAACATAGTCCCAAAGCTTGCAGCAGTCCCTCTATTCCTATTAAGATTCTCTTTGAAGTCTTTCCTAGTGGAAGGGATTAAGGCCTGCACTGGTAAAAGAAAACAAAAAAAAGGGGTTAAAAATAAGCTTTTATAAAGTGTCCCTCCTTGCCACTGTTGATAGGACACAGTACAAAAAATCTATACTGTATGTATTAGTGCAATGCATACAGGTACTTTGCAATTTCTAAATTTCTAGAAACCTTTTATACTTCTGTATATTTTATAGAGATCTAGCACGCGTATAACATACCTATATTTGACATGTGTTTCTTTTATAGGAAACAACGTCATCAGGATGGGACAGCACTAGGGAGATAGCATAACAAACACTATTTGTTGGTTTGAGTTAGTAACGTCATCCTGAAATATTCCCCCTTGTTAACGGCCTGAAACTATTGTGCAGGCCTTCTTCTTTAAGACCACATGATGGCGCTGTGGGGGGGAACAGACATTTTCTGCCTTTTTTACATTTTCTTTTTGCATTGTAAATGAGCCCACACAAAACCATAGCACTACATGTAAGAATATGACATCCATTTATCAAATTATTTTTGCTTTAGTATTTGCTGCCGTGGCCTTCGACTTGCATCCTCTGTGAACCCACCGTTTGCTAGGGGTTAAACAGAAAACGGACTCAGCCAGTATAACAAGTTAGGCTTGTTTGGTTAATCATTTTTTTTATCATGATATGCTTCGTTGCAATAATGTGGAGCACATTGTCAGATTGCTGCCACTATTTTGCTTCAAGGTTGAACTTCATTTGGACAGCAGAGCAGCCATTGTTATTTGCTCGAACATACGAGTACAAGATGGCGGGATCTATAACGGCTCCGGATGCAGTGTTGTCACTAGTCTCCAGCAAACTGAAAGGGTTGGTTATGGAGACAGGATTGCCTTTAGAGGTCAGGATGTTATGTTAAACCGGGTAGGACAGTTTGCTGGTTTTTGGCTGGCTTGATTGTTTGTCGCTGATGACAATAAGTCCTTCAGTGATGGGAACAAAAATCTTGTTGCTATGTTATTGCAGTCCCTGTACTAGCTGAACAGGCTGATATTTTAAATCTTGTTTTTTACACATTTTAGGCAACAGCATATTTAAAGTGGATGTATCACACACAATGAATTGATAAGCCCTGTCGGTGAATTGTTCCTTTCAGTTCATCTGGTAGCTTTCTATGATGTATGAGCGCTATGGGTCCATTTTTTAGTTGTCCTAAACATTTATTCCAGACTGAGCTACCAAGGCACCCATCTTGTGCTCAGCTGCTTTGTATGGGCTTTTTAAATACATATTTAAAGGGTCAGTCCATCCAAATCTTATTTTCATGTTTGGTAGGTGATAGAGCGTTAACTGCACCTTTCGGGGACTGAAATCTCCCTGTTCCCATATGCTGTTTGCTGCAGTCATTACATAGGGACCTGCTCTCCTTGCTGGATTTTTTTTAAATTACAAAATATTTCATTAGGGAAAAAAAAAGAACAAAACCGTGTACAGGTTCATTAGCATCAAGCACATAGAAATGGACAAATAGTGCATACAATAGAAATGGAGTATTATAGGAAATCCCACGTCCACAGGCAAGTACAGCTGACCTTGGTGTTATCAACATGAGATGAACTATACCAGGGCTATGTCGGTGACGGTTCTCATTCATCCAGGTCATGGTATATCTGTAAAAAATAAGTCAAGGCAACTGGACTATTTTTTTTTTTTTAAACGTCTTCAAGAAAAATATAGCAAGTCCAGTTGCCTTGACTTATTCTTTACAGATATACCAGGGCTGGACAAATTCCAGAAGCCAGGTTGCCAATGCTCCTTCAAATTAACATCAGGCGCCCAACTTTTGAGGTTTTCTGTATTTGTTGTCAATGGAATTGACTCCTAAAAAAAAATCCTGCTGGCTCCTGGATTGGACAGACTGGCTCCTGAAATCCATATTCATTTGTCCACCCCTGAACTATACAAAATATGGCAGCAACGTAGTAAAATATTCCCAGGGAAAAAGGTTGTCACCATTCCTTTCCCCCAATTTATAACAATGGAGCACATGTGGATGACCTTGTGGTCTATCGGTACCATATTTTGTAGAACTCTTTTTTTTTTTTTCTTGCTGGATTTAATATCAAGCATAAAACATGAATAATGAATCACGAGGAGTGGTGACACCCAAATAAAAATATGGGCAGTATCAAAAGCAGGAAAAAAGGGTGGCAGCTTACCCGACTGGAGTCCCCAAGGGTAAAAAGACCGTCACACTGTCCCCAGACTCTACCTAAACTGGAAATACCACCTTTTGGGTGGACTGACCCTCTAAAATCCAGTGCAAAGTGTAATGATGTGCAGTAATCCACAGCAACCGATTCGACTTTAACTTTCGTCAGGTTGCAGCAATCAAATCAATGTTAAGGGAGTTGTTGTTGTGGGTTACTGCACCTAATGCATCATTCTTCGTCTTAATTTCATTCATTAACGTCACACTTGTGAAAGATTTAGTTTAACTTTTATTGCGCCAATGAGATTCGAAGCTGCATGCCGTTTTAATAGAACCTATAAAGCTTTCTTGCGTGGAGAAGCAGGCTCTCCTTTCTGCAGGTAGAACCTGCGCTTAACCGCTCCACCGTTTACCGTTTATTTTCCCCAAAACCGCAAGCACTTAAAAGTCATTTTATGTTTTCTGTTTGCCAGCGTTCCTGTCATTTTGTCAGAAAAATGTTTTTGTCTTTTGCTCCCTAGTTTTTTCCCTGCAGAGGAACGTGCTGTGACTTTCAGTGGTGTGCACAAAGCTACAAAAAACATCTGTATACAAGACCAACACAAGGAGTTTACAAGGGGAAACCAAAATTATACACAGAGGAGGTAGCCATTTTGTTGGAGATCACCCATTGGGACATATGGGTTGGGTATACTAGAACTAAAGTAAGTGTAGGCGTGTCTTGGAGCACACAGCAAGTGCTTGCTTTCATTGTGGTGTCTGGCTGGTTGCTGTAGGGAACATGCCAGCTTTCCTTACTCCAAATTTTTTATATGAGACCGATTGTTCTCATCCACTAAGACTTGGTGAGCTTATGACAGGTTGAGGGGCAAAGTGTTTATTACTGCACAGCCTTGAGGATGTCCATTTAGATCAGCGGTGGTCAACTCTCCTGATACAGGGGGCATCAAGTGCCCTGATATCACCAAAGGGCCGCACATATTAGACAATGACTTTATTGCTGCATAAACCTTTCAGAGACTGCTGACACATGCGATATGAGCTGGCCAGGAACTACAGGCATGCTACAAAAGCAGATCCATTAAGACTTGGTGACTTTAATAAAGGTTGAGGTACAAAGTGTCTATACCAGCCTTAGTAATGTACATTTAGAGCAGTGGTGATTGCAGACACATGCATCAGGAGATGGTCAAGGACTACAGGCGTGCTACAAAAGAAGATCAAAGAGTAGACAGGCTGCAGGAGGTAGTCCGAGACTACAAACATGCGATAGGAGTTGATGACTGGGGACATGCTTTAGGAGACCATCATAGACTGGGGACACATTATAAGAGACTGCTACAGATCACTTCCATTACAGAGCAGTAAGGAAACAGCCTGATGTCTGCAGGGGACCTGATGGTGGCAGAAAAAGTGGCAAAGGGCTACAGGTTGGGTACCAGGCACCTTGAACTAAAGCATTTGGTGCCTCAAAAACAAAAATGGCATAGAATTATTTTCCCAGATTAATTGTGATATGTTTGGTATGAATTTAGCTCTTTTTTGCTTGTGGAAAATGACTGGGCTACTTTTTAATCTCAGGCCTTCTGTAAAGTGTCTGATAGTTCTACGCTGTGCCGTTCCTATCTTAGGCGGGAGTGGTGGCTGGCCGAGCTGTTAGCCGCGGGGGATGGGGGGTGCTGTTATTCTCGGTTAGTTTGAGTTACGGGGTAAGAGGGTATTTATCTGACAGTGCTCATTGCCCGAGAGACGGATTTTCAGGCCAGAGTTCTGGGGGCCTGGTGGTGCTCTGGCCAGCGCCTCACCCAACTCACTGACATCACTGTTTGCCAGGAGCTGAGCTGGATGCCAGCCAGAGCATCCCAGATTAAAAAGATCTGGACGGGGAGATGTGTATGGCCCTTACACATCTCTCTGGCTGGAAAGAGGGCGGCAGGCTCAGCCCAGGGGACCCAAAGAGATGCCACCTAAGGCAACAGCCTCAGGCTGCCTAACCCTATGCAAATCCTGACTTATCTGCAATGGGAGTTCTTTGTGCTCCATCATCATTGAAGGGGAAGCCTCTGCTGCCGTACAGTGTCTACTAATACTGCCCAGTTCACTTCTCTCTGACATGGAAGATTACAGAGTTGCTTTAAGCACGAGTTCACTTCTCTCTGACATGGAAGATTACAGAGTTGCTTTAAGCACGATTTACACAGCAAATAAAGGGAAGGTCACCAAAAGCACTTGAATGAAACATTTTTTTTAACATTCGCGGTTCCAGATCAGTATTCAGTTTTCTTCTTTGTCACACACTCGCATATAGAGTCATCAGATTATTGTTCTCCAACAAAATTGCTACGCTCTATACCACTGACCTTTACAGTATGATTCTATTCAGCATAGGAAATGAGGGTACCCCACCCATGCTCAGCACTCCTCCCCGTTTTTTTTACCTATGATTGATCTTCCTGTCTATTTTTTTTAAAAACCATTTCAGCTCTTGTGTTTATTGAGGAAAGAAAAAGCTATTTTATATTTTGTTAAGAAAGTGACATAAAAAAACCCTTCTAGGCATTGGCCTTTGTAAAGAAACAAAATAAAAATGTTTGTACTTGTTTTTTAGAAATCTGTTGTCTGTTATTATTTTTATTTAGTTTTGGTTTTTTAAGGTTAAAGTTGTCTATTATTTTTATTATGAAGGCTACATAGGGGTCTATTTATACATTTTCCGCCCAGACATATGCTGGGTGAATGCTCTTTGAACATCATTCCCACCACTAGGTGGAGCTGAGGAGCAATGGGATTTCCTATGCTTCTCGGCTGCACCTAGTGGTGGGAATGTTGTGTGAACGGCATTCATCCAGCATATTGTTGGGCAGATTTATAAATAGACCCTATAGAGCACATGTGTCAAACTCAAGGCCCAGGGGCCAAATCCGGCCGGCCAGGCCATTTCCTAAACTTCTACTTTCAGATCTAGGTATTAAGTTATTACTAAAACCAGTGATAATCGAATGCAGAGGCAATTATAATAAAGATTAGATACATTGATATATTTTTACAGATACCTTTTGAGGGCAACCATAATGTTGATGCGGCCCACGATTAAATTGAGTTTGACACCCCTGCTATAGAGAATGGGTAGGCAAACTGGTCCTCCTGCTGTGGTGAAACTATAATTCCCATCATAGATCTGTCTCTGGGAGTCTTGCAGTGGCTAATGGGATTTGTAGTTGCAGCATAGCTGGAGGGCCGGAGTTTGCCTACCCCTGGTATAGAGTCATATATGGATACCAATCACAAATTTGGGCTTTTTTTGTTTTGGATGGAGTGGGGAACAGGTGAAATTTATTTTCAGGTGTCTTTTTCTGACTGT